GGATGTTTTTAACAAGTTGGTTCAAGACATCGTTAACTGTGATGAGAAGGTGTATGAAACCTATAAGGCCATTATTTTGCTTAATGTTAAGAATGCGATTAAGTATGGTAGGGACACTTTAACCTTCGAGATTGTCATCGATTCCCTTAGGAGTAAGAAAATGAAAATTAAGGCTGAAAAAGAAGATAAGCAAACTGGCGAGTTGCATATGATGAGGAGTAGAATGAAGTTTACGCAAATGAGTTTGGGTTTGGGATACATTTGGTAGTGTGTTGTGTGTCTTTTGGTAAGGTGGAGTATAGATGCCTAGGGGTACATTGTGGTTTGTACCATGGGATGTGGAGTGTGACAGTTGGATCACGGTGGATATGTGATCAAATGTTTGAGATCCTTTATCTGGAAGTAGAGGTGTCAATCCGGTAGGCCGGGCCTGGTCGGCCCGCCAATATATGAGCCCGGTAACGGCCCGCGTGAAAAAAATCCCGCCCGCTACGGGTTCCGGGTCGGCCCACAAATTTTAGATTACAACCCAAGCCCGCCCGCTGACCCATCCGGGTCGAGCCCATACGGGTCGCGGTTCGCGGGTCATGGGTCGCGTTTGTCGCGGGTCGTTCCAAGAATTTTTTATATTGATAGCAAAAAAAATTTTTTTTGTTAAATGTAAACTATGAATTGAATAAAATGATAAATTCATATTTATACCAAAAAATATTTACATAGAATTCAAATTTGATAATTGAAATTTAACAACTAAATGCATTTCTAATTACGTGAAGATATATATATTTATAGGAAAGTACATCCCAATTAGGTTGACACATACTTTTACTATAATTTATAATTTAAGTACATCCCAACTAACTTGTCACCTACTTAACTCTTAACTATTAACTATAATTTAGTTGTCGAAAAATTATATATTTGTTTTTCAATCAATTTTCATGAATTGTAAGATTTTTGAAATTTTCAGCAATATCATCATTAATTTTATCTTACATCTTTCGATCCGCGAATATCCAATCTTTTATGCATATGAGAGCTTCCAAAATATCTTCTTTAAGTCTAGATTTTCGTTCGTCCAATACCCAGTTACATGTACTAAAAGCAGACTCGGATGCCACTGTTGAGACTGAAACTGTTAGTATATCTCGTGTCATTTTAGATAATACAGGGTATGACCACTCATTTAATTTCCACCACCGTAAAATATCTAACTTATCCACTTCATTTTCAGGTATGAAACTATAATGATCAAATTGATAATATCTTTTTAATTCAGTAGGCGTGGTATGTGAATTTGCAGTTGAAGTTGAAGTAGTAGATGAAGAACCAAAAACATTACGTTTCTTAGCTATTATGGAGAAAAAGAAGATTTGCTTTTAGAAGTTGTATTAGAGATTGGAGAAGAAGACATATTTTCATTGTTACCATATTTAATAAAATAGTTTTATACATTTCATTAATAAAAATTTTCAATTGTCAATACACAATAAATTCGGGCGATGATGTTAAATCAATTTTTTAGTTGGATTATACTTCATAGGCCTCAGCCTATAAGTGGAGTGAAATGTCGACACCACAATCGAACCAATCAAATCATGTAACCCAATTAGGCCATTTGAAGTAGACTAATTATATTATTGTTGCTCATGGCCCAACCCAAACGACTTGGATGACTTTAAGATGTTAGCCCATTTACCCCTTTTTCATTGGACATACTATTTTGACCTAAAAGCCCAACCTATTCCTAACCTATTTAATTTGGTTGTCTATTACCATTTACTGGGTGTGGAAGATTATTAAGCAGCTGGCCCATTTTTTGAGTAGAGTGAAAAATGGCTCTTTTCTTGCTTGGTGCAAAATTGGCTGTGTGCTTTTCCCTTCAAGAGAACCGTTTCTTTCACTTTTCTGCCTAGCCTTTGTGGTTGTTTTTCTAAGGCTGTGATCTTTCATTCCCAGTCCTTTGTGGGCTGAAATCATTGGAGCAACCATTTGTGCTTGGGATGGTGTTGGTTTGTGGTGTTTGGTTGATTGTGGTGATCGTTTGTTGGAGTAACTGAGCCCGAATCTTGGATCAACAAAAGGAAATAACTTACAAATACAATGCTCGATTAATTATTATTACTATTAATATTGTCCTTTTCAAGCCTCAAATAGTGGAAAATTTTTAAATCTTCCACTTTTTGAGACTCGACTTTCTGTTTTTCAAGACCTTGCCCAAGCTGGATTTACTCAAATCTGTTCGGGAATTTTTTTTTTGAGCAATTTAAATTATAAATAGATATAAATGAGTAATCAATAAGTGTGTAAGTATTTGTGGGTTCCTTGAAATGTTCGGATAANGAATCACGTAACCCATTTGGACCATTCGAAGTAGCCTAATTGTATTGGTGTTGTTCATGGCCCAACCCAAACGACTTGGATGACTTTAAGATGTTAGCCCATTTACCCCTTTTTCATTGGACATACTATTTTGACCTAAAAGCCCAACCTATTCCTAACCTATTTAATTTGGTTGTCTATTACCATTTACTGGGTGTGGAAGATTATTAAGCAGCTGGCCCATTTTTTGAGTAGAGTGAAAAATGGCTCTTTTCTTGCTTGGTGCAAAATTGGCTGTGTGCTTTTCCCTTCAAGAGAACCGTTTCTTTCACTTTTCTGCCTAGCCTTTGTGGTTGTTTTTCTAAGGCTGTGATCTTTCATTCCCAGTCCTTTGTGGGCTGAAATCATTGGAGCAACCATTTGTGCTTGGGATGGTGTTGGTTTGTGGTGTTTGGTTGATTGTGGTGATCGTTTGTTGGAGTAACTGAGCCCGAATCTTGGATCAACAAAAGGAAATAACTTACAAATACAATGCTCGATTAATTATTATTACTATTAATATTGTCCTTTTCAAGCCTCAAATAGTGGAAAATTTTTAAATCTTCCACTTTTTGAGACTCGACTTTCTGTTTTTCAAGACCTTGCCCAAGCTGGATTTACTCAAATCTGTTCGGGAATTTTTTTTTTGAGCAATTTAAATTATAAATAGATATAAATGAGTAATCAATAAGTGTGTAAGTATTTGTGGGTTCCTTGAAATGTTCGGATAAAAAGTGATTTGTGTGTTTGTACAACTGTTTATAAACATGAGCCAAACATGCACCTTGTTATCAAAGTAGATTGGTGTCTTGAATTCAAATCTCGGCATCGCTAATTTATGAAAATTTTACCTAATCAAGGCCTGTGGATGAAAAAAGTTCAGGTTTACCAGCTCAACAATAAATAAATAAAATAGAAAAATGAAAAATGAAAAAGAGAAAAAGAAAAAGAAAAAGACAAGTGAAGTAGCCAAAACTATCTTACCTAGCTATTTAGACTTGTTCCTATTGAGTCATCACATTTGTCTATATAAATTGAATTAACTTCAAATTCTACATGGATCCAGGGCGGAGGTAGTGGGGGGGTGGGGGGGTGCTTCAGTCCATATAAAAACATTAAGGCCTTGTTCGGGAGGGATTAAAAGACAATTAAAATTGAAAATATGGTCGTTATTGGGTCCCACTCGTCTAATAAAAGTCAACAATAATGACTATATTTTCAATTTTAATCCGATTTTAATCTCTCCTATACAAGGCCTAAGTAGAATTTGTAGAATTTTGGCCCAAAAGCATTGTCCCCCACCCTATAAAAACAATAAGAAGAAATTGTAGAATTTTGATCCAAATAATAGCATTAGCCAAACTCTAATTTGAATCTTAACCTAAATCCAATACTCAATTATTCAAATTGTATTATAGACGCTACGATTATTAATTACTCTTTTCATGACATTCACGAAACATGAATATTTTACTGTCAAATTAGAAACTCTATTTAATGCATGTTTGACTAAATTTACTTATAATTATTATTAAATTTTATTGTAGATAACTTGTATTCATTATATCTAGAAGTAAATTACTTATTTTAATAGTTAGAGATACTATATATTTTGCTAAATTTAAAAGTAATTAATTCTTTTATTTTTACGTATGTTTTCATATATTACTTATTCGTACGTATAAAAAAATTACTTATTTTAACCATAAAAAAGATATTATTATCAAAATAAATAATTTACTCTAGATTTGATATTGACAATAAAAAGAATATTTGTCAAAACTTATTTATTTATAAAGTAATCTGTATATAAGTATATTCTTGAAATCGAGCCAAAAATGGACGCGAATTAAATTTAATTTCTTTGACCATCGAAATTCTTAGTTGATTTTTCTCACTTTGGTTGAGATTCTTCACTCACTTTGAAATGTGGTGATATAAAAGATCGATAAGCACACCAAATAATATTTGGAGACAATAACATATGGATTATAGTGATATATTATCGATTGTGTATTTCGATCAAGCTTTCGGTTGTTTGGAAAGATTGGTCGTCAAAGTTACTAGAAAAGGTACTCATTAAATATTTTTTTAAATTTTCATTGGTGGATATGTATTTTTGTTTATTTCTATCATGATTCGGTCAATTTATATTTTTAAGGCAAACATCAATTTTCTATTTGGTAAAAAAAAAAATACACAAAGATTTAGTGGAATATCTTAATGTGAGATATTTAAACTTTTTTCTTTTTTTATTTCATTGAGTTCCGTATACTCTTTATTGTGAATGTCACGAGAATAGCCTCTGAAACTCTATTTCTTGTGGCGTGAGTTCATTCAAATTTTTTAAAATTTGAGCCCATCCTAACATGATTTTCTGGTTACGCCCCTGCATGGATCACAACACAATTGACACGGTAAGTGTTTGTCATTAAAATGTGTATATTTAGTCATTAAAATAAACAAATTTGAGTTGCCTCGTATTCCTGCATCATGTCCATCCAAAGGCAGGCCTGGAGCAAGACATATTAATAAGACAAAATCAATCCGCGTTTTACAACCATCATACGAGTAACTTTCATTTATTTCTTATGAAACTTAATTTTCTGTAAAGAATTCTCAAATTTTTTGGTACTGCCATGGCTGTTTGCAAGTACTCCTGGAGTGTGTGTGTATCAGTTTTACTTTTTCTCATGATCCCATTTGCATCGCCATTGTACTTCAAGCTCTCTACTATTGGTCCAAACGATGCAAATCGCCATATAAAGACGACAGGGGACGCATATATTTCTCCGCAAGGCATTCAGGTGACTACAGATGAGAGCAATAGGGCTTACGGTGGTAAAACTGGCCGCGCCACTTATATTGAGCCTTTGCACCTCTGGGACAAAGCTACAGGTAAAATAGCTGATTTTTATACGCATTTCAGATTTGTGATTGATTCCAGTAATAGCAATTGCCATGCCGATGGACTCGCCTTTTTCTTGGCTCCTGTTGATTCAACCATACCTGGGAATTCATCAGGCAGTGGCCTTGGTCTTGCGTATTTTGATGCAACGGTGAATATATCTGGAGATCCTTTTGTGGCAGTTGAGTTTGATACTTACACGAATGACTGGGATCCTTACGGTCCACATGTAGGAATTGATATCAATTCACTGATTTCTGCTACTAATTTGACATGGAGGAATAACATTACTGAAGGGAAACAGAATGATGCTTGGATTGGTTATGATTCGACTACCAAAAATCTTAGTGTGATCTTCACTGGTTATATGAGTAATCAGAAGCGAAAATCTCAGCTTGATTATAAGGTAGATTTGAGAGATTACTTACCTGAGTTGGTGAGTTTTGGTTTCTCAGCAGCTACAGGGGATTGCTTTGAGAAAAATAATGTTAAGTCCTGGGAATTCAATTCGAGTTTAGAAATAGTAAGTAATAGTTCAGGTCCAGCAGATCCTCCCACAGCGACAAATATTAATCCAAATCCTAGTTTAGCAGTGAACAACGGGGGAAAGAAGACGGGGATGGGATTAGTAATTGGATTCATTGTTGGTCTGTTTGTTTTAATCCTCGGTTTGGTTCTCATTGGATATAGTTTATGGAGGAAAAGAAATAGGGAGGGTGAAAAAGATGAAGTTTCGTTTAATACAATAATGGACACAGAATTTGAAACGGGATGTGGGCCTAAGAAATTTTCATATGGAGAATTGGTCCGTGCAACGGATAATTTTGCAGACAAGAAAAAGCTTGGAGAAGGAGGCTTTGGTGGGGTTTATCAAGGATTTTTGAGAGATTTAAATTCATACATTGCAGTGAAGAGAGTGTCAAAGGATTCCAAACAAGGTCATAGGGAGTATGCATCAGAAGTTAAGATCATCAGTAAATTAAGACACAAAAACCTCGTCCAACTTGTTGGTTGGTGCCACGAAAAAAGAGAGCTGCTACTTGTTTATGAATTCATGCCCAATGGCAGCTTAGATTTCCATCTCTTCAAGGAAAAATCATTGTTGACTTGGGAAACGAGGTACAAAATTGCCCGAGGACTGGCTTCGGCCTTGCTGTATCTACAAGAAGGGTGTGAACAATGTGTAATTCACCGGGACATAAAATCAAGTAATATTATGTTAGATTCCAACTTCAACGCCAAGCTCGGGGATTTTGGTTTGGCTAGGCTTGTTGATCACGAAAAGGGTTCACAATCTACAGTTTTGGCAGGCACTATGGGATATATGGCTCCTGAATGTTTAACCACTGGGAAGGCTAGTAAAGAAACAGATGTCTACAGCTTTGGAATAGTTGCACTAGAAATTGCATGTGGAAGAAGATCGATTGATGCTAAAGCACGAGCAAATCGAGTAAGGATGGTCGAGTGGGTTTGGGACCTCTACGGAACAGGAAAGCTACTCGAAGCAGCTGATCCAAAACTATGCGCAGACTATGATGAGCAGGAAATCAAATGCTTAATGGTTGTCGGGCTTTGGTGCGCTCATCCGGACAACAATCTCCGGCCGTCAATAAAGGAAGCTATTCATGTCCTCAATTTTGAAGCTCAATTACCCCTTCTTGCATCAAAGTTGCCAATGCCAACATATTCTGCTCCTCCATTTGATATGCTTAAACTTTTGGTTTCACAATCTAGTGGTGTCAATTCGCTCCTGGCTTCAAATAACTCGATTTCTGATGCTTCTCCATCCATGTCCCATTGTACAAAAGATAAGAATCTTTCATAATATCTTGATCGCCAGTCTACCAAGTGTAACTAAATTTTTATTCTATGTTTGTTAAACTGGAAATATATATATTGTAATGGGATGACAGTTACTGATATTGTTTTAGTTCATCGTTGATGCAAGTAATTAATTTTTAGTTAAACAGAAAAAATAGCTAGCAGATATAGAAAAACTTGAGCCTATTTTGTTAATTTTAATTGCAAGATTTCTTCCCCATTTGTATAGCATAATGCCTAAAATATCAATTGAATATATTCGCACCCTCTGAGAAGAAGCAGCATGGCTTAGAGCTTGAATTCTCTCATTTCCTTTTCTTTCTCGATTTTATGTTCCTGTGCACCACACAGTGTTCCCACTCTTCGTGTAGAAATAGTAAAGCTAAAGCCAGGCCTCGGGCAATTTTGACCTCGTTTCCCAGGGAAACAATGATTTTCTCTTGAAGAGATGGAAATCTAAGCGCCCATTTGGCATGAATTTATAAACGAGCAGTAGCTCTCTTAGATCATGGCACCAACCAACAAGTTGGACAAGATTTCTGTGTCTTAATCGGCTGATAATCTTCACTTCTGATGCATATTCTTTAGGCCCTTGTTTGGAATCCTTCGCAACCGGCCTCTTCAGAGCTATGTATGAATTTGAATCTCTCAAAAACCCTTGATAGACCCCGCCAAATCCTTCTCCAAGCTTTTTTCCGTCCGCAAAATTATCTGTGGCATGTACCAGTTCAAGTTCTCCTCATTGGAACTTCTTAGGTCCACAAATCTTTTCAAATTTTATGCCAATTTTCATATCAAAGTAAAGGTCATCTTGTTTTTCCTCCCCATTTTTCTTCCTCCACATACTATAAGCATTTTTTTTTTTTTTTTCAAACCAAGAATCAAAATTGACAGACCAACTGTCAAGCCAACTATACTAATTCCATCTTCATTTTCTTTCCCCCGTGGTCTGCATGTCTAGAATCTGGATTGGTGTTTGGCACCAGGGAAGGATCAGTGAGGTTAGGACCTGGACTATTAGTTACTATTTTTAAATTTGAATCTAACTCCCAGGACTTAACGTTCTGTTTCTGAAAGCAAGTCCACATATATAGCTGCTGAGAAGCCAAAACTCTCTCACTCAAGTAAGTTAGACGTTTGAACTTAATTTGAAAAGTAAATCGACAGAGTTCCGACTTAGAACTGTGGATATGCATACATGGAACACGCATCAGTTAGAGAAACTAGGATTCATCACAATCTCTGCTTCCCTCAGACATTCAGTGAACATGCTGTCAGGACAGTTCCTATTATAGTCTTTGCATTGCATAAAACGTGCACCAAAATAAATTTTGTTTAAAAAACTTAACATGTAACAATTATAACATTTAGGTCATTTTAGTATGTAATACTGCACAAAATTAGACAAACGACGGTGGAAGACATTGGAAATGCTAAAGATATAAATTGTCCATTGCTATAAAGTTTTGCTTTAATTTTTGACAGAATTTATAGTGCAAAAAAGAAAAAGTAGAGAAAAAAGCTATTATGCATTTGTGAAAAAGTTAAAACAAAGAATGGTATTGAAAATCAAAAAGAAAAAAACTATCCTGTTTTTGCCAATTTGTATCTTAAAGCTCTCTTGACTTGTACTAAGCACCAACCCCTTTTGCGCACTCTTTTTTTGATTTCAAACATAAATTTGCATAATTTTATTTAAATTTCAACGAGAAATACGTGTTTTGATCATCAATATTCTATAAGTTTATGCTTTGACGTCATCATATTGGCCAAAATGTATTATATTCTAAATATTTCATTTCTGTTTGTTGGTTTGAAGTAGAAAATATGTGAAATTATTCAACTATACCACATTTAAATATAAATACAAGCAAAGTAATGCTATAATAATTATTTTAATTCATATGTGTTCTAGCAAAATTGGTTAAAAATATTATGGACCATAATAATCTTTTTGCACAGAAACTATTATAAAATTCTAAATGCATTGCTTCAAAATTTTGTTAACTAACTAAAGGTCCGTTTGGTAGGGCTTTTGAAAAGTTAAAACTGCTTCTAACACTACAAAACTACTTTTGAACACGTTCGAATAATTTTTTTAATGCAATTTGTCTAACTAAAAGAGCTTTTAGAGAAGCTTGTCTTAAGAAAACTTACTCAGAAAGCTCTTCTACAAAAAGTAAAAGCCAAACAGGCCTTAAGTCATGCTCCACAAGCATTAGGGGTGTAAGCGGTCCGGTTTTTGCGGTTTTTGACAAATTTTCAAACCAAACCGTTTTGACCGATTTGAGAAAAACTCAACCTAAACCAAACCGTTTTGACCGGTTTGAAAAAAACTCAAACCTAAACCTAACGGTTTGGTCCGGTTTTAAACCGCCGGTTTCGCGTATATTTTTTTTCCTATCTAGTATCTACTTTTATACTATTAATTCAATATATATTTATATCTTACTAGAAATAAATCTAAAAAAAATTAAATATATTTACTATAAATTTAAATAACAACAAAATAAAAGTAAAATCACAATAAACTAAAGCATAGTTTTTTATTCGCCCTTTTGATGTTTTAGGATAATACTTTACGATAAAGATACAATACAAATCCACTAAAATAAATATAAGGTCCAAAAAAACATAATAATGTCCCTTTTCAACTAG